GCCCAAGGGCATGTCCCCATGCCTTAACATCACTTTGCAAATTTTTTCTAAGTGTTGGGGAGCCATTTCAAACCATTTTACTTGGCCCAAGCCCTTTTTCCCGCGAGCAGCCCTCACCCGCGCAGCCCAGCACGCGCCCTCGCGCCAGCCCGTGCCAGCCCAGCGCCCAGGCCTAGTGCCGCGCCCAGGGCCAGCGCCCAGGCCCAGCGCTGGCAGCGGGACAGTCCAACATTTTGAGCCCATTTCATATGTTTTCGGCCCAAATCCTCCATGACCCAACTCATGCGGTTATTAAGGACTTAATAAGGGTTAGATTAAGCTAATTTGGCCCTAAGCATTGTTAAGGGAAAGTCAACACATCATTTGCCAAAGTGAAGCATGTGCACACATTAGTTTATTCAAGTATTTTTGTCCTTGTCCCCCATGCAACCTCCAAACCTGACCTGACCTCTCCATTATGATATTATACTCTGAAAATGGTCTCTAAGACCGTGCAACACTCAACCCCCAAGACCACTATGTCCCCACACTTTAAAAAAATGGGAACTTCACACCATTAGCCTAGTTATATCCGCCCATCACCCTATTTAAGCCCCTAATCCGTTTTGATGATGGCTCTTGCACATTTTGACATTTTAAGACTTAGAGAGTTCAGCAAAAATAGAGAGAAGAGAGTCCAAGGCCGAGAGCCCCTACCCGCAGCTCCTTGCGCGCGTGTAGTCCCGGGGGAGTGCCACACCACGCCTCAGCCATCTCCAAGCATAATCTCTCGTGGCTTATCACTATCCAAGTGTTTCTTGGATTTTTATAAGTCATTTGAGTACACCAAGCTCGGCCATAACCATCTCCAAGTCAAGCTCACACCCAAAAGCCGCACCTAGCCACCATTTGAGCCCTAGCTTTCGTTTTTGCATTTTGGTGAAGGTTAGTCCGAGGCAACTTCTTCCCAAAATTATTTTATGATATTTTAAGATTTTTCATGAAGAGAAACCGAGCCATGCATGTCATTATATATGATTTACGAATTTTTGAATTAAATGGCCTTAAAAATAAAATTTTAGTTGCATGCATGCCAAAGTCGAAAATGTTGGTTAAATCACCCTTAAATATCATACCATTGATGCTGTAAAAATTTGAGAATAAATGGAGTTCATTGCCTTGGTCAATTCATTCATGAAAATACGCTATTTTGGCCACCCGAGGCCCATCCTCATGCATGCATGTTATGACCTAAGTGTTAGCCACTATAGTCATCATTTGTGATGTATAACATTCGGCCCTGAGTAGTTTTGTAAGTTATGAATGTTCGTTCGGACGTAAGTTGCTCGTACGTGCCATTTAGGCCCTCCCGAGTGTCATGCATGTGGACCCGGGGTCCACTAGTGTTTTATGTGATATTTGTGCTTATTTTACCATATCATGATGTTTGGAGTTGCATGTCACCGGAAAAGTCGCCGGAGGTCCGGCAAGGGCCGGCCTTGGTCACTGGCCGCGCACGTAGTGCGGTAGTGCCCGGCCCCAGTGCCTGTCCGTGCCTGCAGAGGGTAGCCTTAGCCAGTGCCCGCGCCCGGTAAGCGCGAGGCACAGCCCGCGTGCACGCAACAGCGCCCGCAGCGCCCAGTGCGTGCCCGTGTGCCAAGCATAAGCCCCAGTAGCCCCAGCACGCGTGGCCATGGCACCCAGCGTGCCCAGCCATGCGCACGACGCCCGGCAGCGTCCGTGCCAAGCCCAGCGCACGAGGTCTCGTGCCAGAGCCTCGTGCCAAGTCCAGGGCTGACCCGAGCAGGGTCAGCTGAGCCCAGTCGGCCTCGGGGCGTGTCCAGCAGCACGCCCGAGAGCCCAGTGACCTCGGGGACGGCCAGTAGCGCCCGTGTGGCCTCTGCCCGTGTCTGTCCCGCGTCTGCCCTAGCCCAGCCGGCCCGGGACGTGCCCAGCAGCACGCCCGCGTGCCCAGAACCCTCCAGGGCGCCCGGCAGCGCCCGCGTAGCCCCTGACCAGTGCCAGTCCGCGCCGTACCGTGCCCAGTGCACGCCAGCGCGCCCCAGCAACCCTCAGTCCGTGCCCAGCCGCACGACAGGGCTTCAGCCAAGCCTCGGCCGTGCCCAGCGCGCACCCGAGGGGCACCAGTCGTGCCCGGGCCGTGCCAGCAGCCCCTGGCCGTGCCCACCAGCGCCAGTCCGCGCCAAGACATGTCCAGCGGCCCCAGGGACCGAGCCCGGTCGCACCAGCCGTGCCCAGCGCCGTGCCCGGGCACCAGCTGGCCCGGCACGGGACCGAGCCCGGTCTAGCCGAACCCAGCCCGACCGCCCGGCCCAGTCGAGCCGGCGGTCCGGCCAGCCAGCGAACCGGCCGGTTCGACCGGCGGTTCGAGTCAGTTTTGACTCGTGATTTCTGATCCGAGTCCAGTTCCGGAAATTTCAGTATTTTTCCGAGCCAGTCCAGTCCAGTTTAATCGCGTAGATAAGTCCGAGCATTTTAGCATATAATTAAATATTCTGAGCATTATACTTAGCATTATTTTGCTTAAATATTTATGTAGCCTAAGGAGAGTCGAGCCTCCGACCGCTACTCCAGCTTCCGCACTTGCATACCAGATTTCAAGTTTTTCAGGTGGGGGTCATGTACTGGATTTCACATCATAGATAATATCTGTACCATGGCAGAGGTATGTTTGAGACAGTTTAGTTCCGGGTTGGGTGGCCGAGGCCTTTATACCCACCTGATGACCGTTGGGAGGGGCGAGGCCCTTTCTACCCCATCGGCGTGTGCACACGAGCGGCTACGGCCGAGGGTCTTTTGACCACAGATCAGAACAGACATCAGAGATCAGTTTACAGTTTCAGCTCTTATATATTTATGTTTCATGATACGTTATTATAGATGATGTTTTGTTCAGTACTGGTCTTTGCGGAGCATAGTGGTTTGCTCACGCCCCCATTGTGTTTTTCAGGAGACGGAGTCGAGCGTGCCGGATGAGCACAGATGTGGCGCAGCGTGGTCATGAGAGTCGGACATATTTTACCAGCATTTTTATGTCCTAGATTTATGATCATGTGTATTTTATACAGTTTATGTACGCATGTTATGTATTCGTATTTTCGGATGCTTCCGCCAGCGAGTTTTTCTAGACAGTGCGAGACAGTACAGACTATGCATGTATAATTCCATAATCCGCGAGCGGACAGTCTGGTTGCATGTTTTTATTATGTCTGCGGGCAAACTCGAGTTCAGTTTAAGTTTTTATCTGCCACATCCCGCTATAAGTCAGTATTTTCGAAAACCCAGCTCGCACGTTCTTTCGAAAATAAAAACAAAAATTTTACTCTGATTTTCAAAGCTAGTAGTAAGGCGGGGTGTGACATCAGCCAAAATACGTGTATATATACATACAATATACAAAACATATTCAAAAAAATATCCACTTACTGTAGCGGCAGCGTGTTTGATGCTCTCGTGTCCATCAGAGACAATACACATCCCATCTCTTTCACCAACAACTAGTTTCAGCTTCGAAAAAAACCAGGTATACGACTGGTTATTCTCCGAGTCAACAACACAAAAAGCAAGCGGTAAAATGTGAAAACTCGCATCCTGGCAACATGCAGTTAACAAAATTCCTCCATACGCCGATGTTAGAAAAGTGCCATCAACAACAATAATTGGTCGACAATGATTCCACCCCTTTATTGATGCCTTAAGAGACATGAAAACGTATAGAAAATTCCGTTCAGCTGTAGTACTCAACTTCAGAATGCTTCCTGGGTTCGAAACACGCACCTTCTGGAGATATTGATGTACGTATTCGTATGAATCATTTGGATTGCCTCTAACCTCATCCACAGCCTTGCGCTTCGAACGCCACGCTTTGTGGTATGACAAGTTTATCCCGAAACGATGTTGCATATCGTCGATGATATCACCGGGATTATATGAAGTTTTTGTATTAGTGAACTTCGTCTTGATAAAACTACTAACTACATTTGAAGTAGCTTGCCGCTGGCCACTCATACGCACATCTAATGAACATCGATGATCAGTCCCGACAACTCTTATCTTAAATGTGCTCGATTGGGCAACACGCGACGCTTTCACAAACCACGTGCACTCATCAGACACGCATTTCACGTAATATTGTTTTGTGCACGACTTCTCAACTTTAAATTGATATTGATTCCTTATGGCATGCATTGTCAGAAATCTCTGTAACATAGACTTATCTTTGAATAAAATACCAACAACGATATTAGATTCCACATTTGGCTCATCCAGAAACTCCATTTCGCTATTAGGGTATATATTCTGTATATTTTCCGTACATGTTACTGTATCAACCATTTCAGCAGCCACTGCTCGTGCGAAATCCATGAAGTTCATTGTTTCATCTCCCTTATCTATATAATAGTCGATATCCGTACGCCTCACAGGAGTTACACTAGTTTCGTTGCCCAAGTCATGGACACTACTGGCATAGTTGGTCGAGTTCTGGCCAGCCATTGGATTTGTGACGACCACGCATAGCGGGAAGTTCGTGTAGTCGGATTCATTCGCTTTCAATCGGACATAAAAATCCAGACTACTATCGTCATCAATGGGCATTGGTGGATAACCGTCCTTCAGTTTATACTTCAGTTCAATACCGGCGGACTGAGACGTAATTTTAAATTTCTCCCTTAATACATCACATAGCTCGGTGAATCTGCAAGTTTTACGAACTACAAGGCCCGATAGTTGAAAATTAACGTACTCATTCATAACCCATTCACCACTGTGATGTAGGACGATCATCATTTGTGCATCCATCTAGCTTTCAAACACAAAACAAAAAAAGAAAAAAAAAAAGGATATCAACATACTAATATGATAAAAATATACTATAAATATACAGACATCAAAACAGACTAGGGAAGAAACTTTTACCAGTTGTTGGTTGGAATTTTCTGGACTTATATCATCAACGTCGTTTTATGTTCCTGATCGAGGAGAGGGAAAGGAAAATATACGTTTTTGGGACAGAACAACATCGATGTTTTTGCATATATTTTGAAGATAAGACGTTTTTGAATTCAAAATATGTATATCGTCTTTGATGAGAACTACTTCCTACGTAATAGGATATATTTACACTTTCCATAAGATTTTCCCATTTGTTCCCAATGAAAACGGTAATCGTTTTATTCCCTGAAATTAAGGAGATTTGGTGGACTTTATGGCCAGTAACAGATATCGTGCATAATCACAATTAAAAGCCACGAAACAGGTAAGTTTGCAAATTAAATTATGCCGCTCGTATATATGCAATATATATGTAATGACTGTGTAAATATAAAATTCTCCCTTGAAAGAAAAGGGTTGGGATATGCCAACTGTTGAAGAGATAAGGAGTCTTTTCACGTTTAGAAGATGTGCCGATAGGCAGGTGGCCGACCCGTTAATCTGTTATGCTTGTGCGGGAAGACCTCAAGGTGGGTTAAAAGTTGGCGATTTGATTACAGAGATTCCTGACTCTCTTCACGGGTTTCAGGAGGAGTGGTTATGGGTTGGCGGAGACTGGCAGACTCCAAATTTTTCTAAACCCTTAATTGATGGGATGTCAATACCCATCAACATTAATTATGCATTTTGTAAGTTTTTCTTTCGTTTCTTATACCGAGTTGTCCTGACTTTATTTTTGTACTAACAGGTCAGCAATGTTACTATTTTGCAGCCAAAAGCAAAGGACCCAAACTCAGTGTGAACTTGAAAGAAAGGATTACCAAGCTATTCAAATTGAAGAAAGAGCGACGTAGCTTCAAGCTGGTCTTAAAGGATACAAGGTTGAAAACGGCTGATCTTTGTCCTGAGATTTCAGACGCTTGTTTCCAACCAGGTAAACTTAAGTCTTAAATTTTTGATCTTGTTTGAAGTCGGTTACTCTCGAAAATAATTATAACTCGGATTTTGTGTTTGTAGTTTATTATCCGCTTCTCGGTGTACTCGGGTTTAAGACTATTCGCTACGCCAAGGGTTTCCATCAAAAGTGTCAAAATTTAGACCTTCGAACTAAAGTCGGAAAGAGTATAGAGTTGCGCTTATCTGAGATGGGTCACAAGAAGTTAGTAACGGCCATTTTGGAAAACCCGATTATGAATCCAAAGGAAACCGAAGTCGGTGATGGTGCGACGTCAGTGGTTGCTACTGAGATCTCGCAGCCAAATCCGTTAGCGATAGCAGCGGCTGGTTCAATTGCTGCTATTGCCACTGCTGTTACTGGTTCGTCTGGGGCTGAACCAGTTGTTGAGGTTACTCCATCTGAAGCCCCTCTTATTGTTGAAGTAGTCTCTAATGAGCCTGAAGGTGACCGAGTTACTGTTGAGGAACAAGAGGTTCCATTAACTCGGCCAAGAAAAAGACGTGCAGAAAGTGTCCCAGTTGTTGAAGGACGAACAAAGAAGAAGCACGACGTTGGTGAGCGAGGAAAGAAGAAGAAGGAGCCGCTGGTTGATCGGTCCTTCTTGCCCATCGATGAAGAAAGGGCTTTGAATTTTAGACAGCCTCGAGAATCAGTCGAGAAGTGGTTCTCGGATTTTGAGTCTATGGAGATTCCCGAGATATCGAGCACAGTCGAGCTGCCGAGCCACGTTATTGATGCTGCTCGGGTCCCTATGATGGTGTGGGATCCGAGGTCTGAGATTGGTGTGTCTTCTCTTCCGAGTACTTACAAGTTTAAATATGCTAAAGCTTGTCTCGGTCGAGCTCTCATTAGCTTAGTAATGGCCGAGGATGATTTCTGACTAAACGCAGCTCAAGTAGACGAGAAGAAACACACTTGCATCTTTGAGAGAGGAAGCAACAGTCAAGGAGAGGGAATTGAAGGCAAAGGTTGCCGAGCAAAGGCAGCAACATACGATTGCCCAGGGTGAAATCGAGACTCTGAAAGTCGAGAAGGCTGGTCTTGATTCCGATGTGCTGAAATTAACAAGTCAAGTGATCACCTCCGAGCAACGCGTGAAAGCACTTGAAGAACAACTTGCTCGGTGTGAATTGCTACTTCACGAAGAGCAAGAGGCTCATGAGCTTACTCGGAAAAGTCGGTCCGAGGTAGAAGAGGTATTATTAAAGAGTAGAGATGCCCATCGTGCCGACCTCAGCAGACTTCAGGAAGAAAAGATAAAGTTTGCCGAGGAAAAATATAATGACGGTCTTCGAGCTGGAAGAATCCTCGAAGCTGAGGCCAACAGACTTAAGGCCAAAACTGAATCTGATTCCGAGGAGGAAGACCGAGAGCTTGAGATGAACACTTGTATCAATCTGCGCTGGGTCATTGAGCGATTTGATGAAGGGTTGTATGATATATAGGAGTTGCGGCAGTTTCTTCTTCACAAAATTAAGAATCACAACTTCAATCCTTCAATCGCAACTGCTCACATTGATGCTGACGAGGACGAAAAAAGTTTTTGTGAAGGGCTCCTTGTTTCTATCGGCGCTGAATCAGGAGATTCTCATATTCCTCCATTAAATCGGGAAAGAGAAGCTCGTCTTCGTCGGTCATTCGTCAATATGTTGTTAGAGACCGAGAAAGAGAAAAGGGCCGAGCCTGGAAGAAGAGCTCGAGAAAATGACCCCTGATCAGCTTCGAAAAGCAGTGCTGGCTTTTCTTGAGAGAAAGGTTTCTGAGTTATCTCAGAAAGTTAATCAACCAGCTGCTACCGAGATGCTTGAAGTTGGAAAAAATGATTCAATCTTGGATGAGCGCATTCCAGTAACTCTTTCTGAAGTCGAGAATGCTGCTAAGGCTGAAGAAGATCGGGTTTTCGATATTATCAGCCGAATTATGTACAAGCAGATTGCAAAGGAGGATGCAAAGGAAGCAACGAAGGATGAAGAAGCTCCGATTAATGATATGTCTGCTGATGTCGAGCTTCCAAAGAAAGATGAGATAGATCTTGCCGAGAAGATGAATGAACCCGAGGAGCTGACTTAGTTTAGATTTTTTTTTTTTTTTTTTTAATGTGCTCTCTGTATGTCGGGACACATGGTTTATTGTAATGGTTGTTGATGAACAATATTTAATTTATGAATGAATGTCTTTTGTTTATTTCTATCTCCATTCATAAATTTTGTATATTCAGCATGTCATTTTATTTTTGCTGAATTCTTTCAAGTGTTGAGAAGTCGGCCAAGTATTAATTTTATAAGTGGACTCCATCAACTTTGATGGAAAATAGGATTTTATCTTATTCAAATCGATCTTCAGGATTTAAATTTAAAGATACTTAATCCAGTTTTTATGAGTGTCTTTAACCTTCCTAAGTTATTGAACTTAGCTATTTGAAGGTTAATAGTTTGGCCGAAAAGGTATATCTTGCCGAGTTATATAGCTCGGTTTAAACCAAAAGTATCCTTTAAAATTTTTAAGGTATTAGTCTTGTCCAAGTTTAAAGGCTTGGCTACATAAAGACTAATGTCATGCCGAGTTAAAGTACTCGGTCTTTCTGTCATAAGGGACTCTTTAGCACACAATTTTTATATTCATCAAAAGAGTGTACAGAGTCATATATACATTGCAAGCAGTCTACTGAAAATATTTCTTCAAATAAACAGCATTCCAGGGATATTGAAGAGCAAGTCTGTCTGGTTTTTCAAGTCGGTAGGTGCCTTTTGGGAGTACTTGACTTATCTTGAATGGTCCTTCCCATTTCGGTTTCAAAGGTCCTGGGTCTGGTCTGGTGATCCTTTTAAGCACTAAATCACCAACTTGGAATGACCGGGGTTTTATTTTTGAATTGACATACCTTTCACTTCTCTGCTTGTATGCGGCATTTTTGAGGTCTGCCATCAGGCGAGTTTCATCTAAAAGATCAAGATTGGCTTTCAAATTTTCTGAGTTGGTTTTGTCGTGAAAATTCGTTACTCGGTACGTTGGGGATCCGAGTTAAACAGGGACAAAAGCTTCTGATCCATAAGTGATGGAAAAAGGTGTCTCTCCTGTTGAATGGCTAACTGTTGTTCTATAAGCCCATAACACATTTGGTAATTCTTCGGGCCGTGTCCCTTTTGCGGCATCAAGTCGGATTTTCAAACCATTCTTAATTATCTTGTTGATAGCCTCGACTTGTCCATTGGATTGAGGATGGTATGGTGAAGAGAAGAAATGCTTTATCTGATAGTCTTCACAGAAAGCCTCAAGTCGTTTTCCTTCAAATTGTCGACCGTTGTCTGTAACAATAGAACTCAGTATTCCAAAACCGACATATGATTGATTTCCAAATAAAGTCGACAACTATTTGCTCTGTAATCGTTGCTAATGTTTAGCTTCAGCCCATTTTGTAAAATAATCGACTGCTACAATGGCAAATCTAACGCCTCCCTTTGCAATTGGAAGTGGGCCAATTAAGTCGATTCCCCATCTAGCAAATGGCCACGGACTATATACCGACTTGAGAGATTCTGGAGACTGATTAACATTTGGGGCGAATATTTGACACTTCATGCACTTGCGAACCCAATTTGTAGCGTCAGTCTTTAGGGTTGGCCAATAATATCCTTGTCGAAGTATTTTATATGCTAATGCTCGCGCGCCATTATGATTTCCACAAATTCCTCCATGAACTTCTTCAAGGACATATTTAGACTCTTGCTCGGTTAAACACTTTAATAAGGGGACAGAATATCCTCGCTTATAAAGGATTTCATTATCCAATGTAAACCGGGCTGCTCGAATTCTAAGAGATCAAGCTTCTTTTGGATCTTGAGGTAAGGTCCCTGTCTTAAGATATGTTACAATCGGTGTCATCCAAGTCGGTGACTCATGTAACTCGGTATTCATAACTTCAGTTTGCGAAGTAGAAGGTATCTCCTGGTGACCGACTTGGACATACTCAACATCCTCTATTCCAGTACTTGATGCAAGTTTGGAGAGCGCATCAGCCGGGATGTTTTGTGAACGAGGGACGTGCTCTAACTGTATATCAAATTTTGACATTCTCCGTTTTACAAGTGTCAAGTATGGCAACAAACGAGGTTCTTTAACTTCAAATTCTCC